CAGTTTAAGCAACTTAGTGAGACCCTACCTCAAAATTTTAAGAAAGATTGCCTCGAAAGAGCAAGGTCCTGAGTTCAATCCCCAGTACCGGAAGGAAAAAAATTTTTTTAAAGGGGCCTGGATATAACTTACTACAAACACTGTGCTTTCACTGTTCTTGAGAACTGGGAAGAAAAAAAAAAAAGGCTGGGGATGTAGCTCAGTGGTAGAAGGCATATCTAGCACACCTAAATGAGATGCAATTCCCAGAGCCAAAACAAAACCAAAAAACTAAAACATGTCATAATTTAAAAAAACAACACCACCACCCAACAAATTAGGAATAGAAGGAAATTTCCTAAACCTACTACAGGGCTACTATGAAAACCCACAGTTAAAATCTTACTTAAAGGTGAAAGACTGGCTGGTTTGCCCCAAAGAATAAGGTAAAGATGTCTTTCCTCTGTGTGTTGCCACATCTATTTCATACCACAGTGAAGGTCCTGGCCAGGAAATTAGGCAAGAAAAACAACAGGCCCCCAGATATTTATTCATAGATATAATCTTCTTTTTTTGGTACCAGGGCAGGCGGGGGAACCACTGAGGTAAATCCCTGCCCCCAGATTTAATCTTGTATACAGGAAATTCCAACAAATTCACAACTGAATTGTATTTTCCAGTCTATCTTTGCTTGGGGAGGTTTTTCCTTCTTTACTTAATGGAATGAACAGTTTCTGTTTTTCAAGGCACTTTTCTTGTCGATCAAAACAATTATTTAGATGTAAACATTCAAAGATTTCTTAATCCAATCCCTCCAAAGCAAACATGCATTTAACAAAAACGGAAGGACATCTTCAATATATACTTTGGCAGCTGATGAATGAGACTAAAGCTGAATCTCCTACAGACTGACATGTTAATAAGCTTTGTTACTCAGAGATAAGTAATTCAATACCTTTCATTACATTTTTCAGGTATTTCACCCCTCTCATGTGCAATATTGAAGTCACTTGGCTAATAACTGAAGGTTCAAAGTTAAATAAGTACATCGGTTGGTTCAGAAGTTACTGGCCTAGAATAAACTCAGCCCAAGGTCATCAAAAGAGAAATGTTAGGACAGGACCAGACACTGGCCTTCTTTCCCTATATCTACACCCAGAGTAATTCATTCCTCCCAAGAAAGAAGCCAGATCAAAAAGCAGGTATCAGGCGGGCATAATCCCAACATTGAACGCTTGGGAAGTTGAGGCAAGGGGATCACAAATTTGAAGCCAGCCTAGGGTACGATAAGGAACTGAAGGCCAACTTGGACTACATAGTGAGACCCTTTCCCAAAAAACAAAACAAAAACAATCAGGTCTCTCCCAAAATACTCATTTATATGTAGCTCATTCTATTACATCATGTTTCTTTTTCTTTCTTTCTTTTTTTATTTTTGGTACCGGGATCAAACTTAGGACCTCGAGCTTTCGAGGCAGGCAACAGCACCACTGAGCTAAATCCCCGGCCATTATGTAGTTCACTCTAAGGGGATTATTTTCCAGAGGTAGCAGATCTCTTCGAATACTGACAAACTTCCTTTCCTAGTAAGATAAGTATATTAAGATATTGGAGGAAAAAAACTGAATAGTGATTAGGATACTGAATTTGAGGTACCCCCTGACATTACAGTGGTACCTCGGTTGGCCAACTCAATTCTCTCTGAGATTCTGGTTGCAAACTGAACTGGATGAGAACCTAATCAGATTTCCCCACAATAGCAACATTGAACCTAACCAATGAATTTGATTCAGTTCTAGTTCAACTTGGTTTGCAACCAGAATTGTGGAAAGAATCAAGTTCGTGGACGGAGGTACCACTTTAATTGACTGTATGATACCAACAAGTTAATTTCCCAATTCCTTTCAATTATAAAATGAAACCATTAGGATCCTTCCAGCTAGTGTTGTAACAAAAGTGAAGCCAGCTATAGTAACTTTACTTTCCACTGAGGCTAGAAAAAACATCTCAGTGGAAGAAAGAATATCCCCACTCTTCTATGGGCAGATAGGCAAAAATGAAACAAAAATTTCCTCTTCCTGAGAAAAGTTACTCTTCTAATAACACAAGAAATCCAAGGTGTTATATAGCAAGTGCATTTTCACCCACCTCTCACTTCCCAAGCCATAGAAAGGGAATTTTGAGAAATGTTCAAGGTAGGCTCCTATAATCTCCAATGAATAAAGGATTCTTAAGTGCAGAGAAATCTTAGATTAGCCACACTGTGATTGGCCCCGCCCAGTCTGATCATTTAGGGCACTCAATATATCAACTGTTATTGTGGAATGCTCTGCTCTGGCGTAAGTGACACTCCAGGTTTCTAGAAGTCTGAGATAAGAAATGCATTCCCTTCTCTTCTCACTCCATAGAGATTTCCAATATAAGCCTACTAACTCATTTTTTTCTAAATGTCTTCAAGTTTGAAAGATGTAAGCCAGCACTTGACTCTAGGTAGCTCCAAAACTAAAAATCTTACCTGCACCTCCCCATCCTTCCAAATCATGATTTTAAGTCCACTTGGAGCATTTCCTACTTTTGTCTGATGTTGTTTTATACAAAGCATTGCACTGGACCCACAAAACTCACAAAACCCACTACAGATATGTAACTACATTAATCAAGATATCTGGAGGTGACCAAGTAACAACTTCAACCTGCCTCTGGAAAATAAAATTACATGGTGAGAGAGAGATGTAGGGAGATGAAACAAAGCATCAGAGCAGAAAATTTCCAAAGAGGAAGGGAGAATGAATAAGTACAGTACACCTAAACAATACTGAGTTAGCTGTTGTGTAAAACAGTGATTACATACAGTTGCAACAGTACTATATTCTTATAAACATTAAGCCCTCATGTGTTCAAAATACAAAGACCAAGCCAGGTGTGGTGGCGCTTATCCTAAATCCCAAGTCTGTAAACCCAACACTAGGGAGGCTGAGGCAGGTGTGCAATTTCAAGGCCAGCTTGAGCTACGTAGTGAGTTCAAGATCAGCTTAAACTACTGTCCCCAAAACAAAAAAAAAATTCAAAGATCACTACACTGGGCTCTACCAATAAATACAGGCTAGCCGGGCAGGCATGGTGGTTCACACTTGTAATATCAGCACTTAGGAGACTGAGGCAGAAGGACTGCCTCAAATTTGGGGGCATCCTGGGCTACACAGTGAACCCGTCTCAAAAACAAAAAACAAAACAAAAAAAGCTGTAATAAATACAGGCTAAATATTTTAGATAAGACAATGACAAGTATTTAAATCTTAAAAAACACTATCAGTTATGTGCAGGCAGGTTAAGTGATATTTGATCAAGCTGATGAGTGTGTGTGTGTGTGTGTGTGTGTGTATGTGTTTGGAGGGTAAATGAATCAGTATTTCTGGCAGAACTTTCCCAAGTGTTTTAGGAACGAATCCAGACTATGAGACAGGCTTCTATCTTTAAAGCAGTGTTTAAAGGCTATGCCCTTATTTTGAAAGTATGACAACCTGCTGTTCTGTGGCTCTTCTCGGGGAAATAAGATTACCATGTAGCTAAAGGTTTAGCTTCCTTCCCAAATAAATTAATGCTGTTGTATCTGTGACATGTGTTCCAAACAGCTAGAAGCATGGGAATTTACTGACCACTGAATTCTGGAATAAGTTATAAATCTCTTTCCATCACCTTAGAAAATACTATCTTTTTCTTAAAAGCTACCAGTTCAAGATGAAAACAATTCTGAGGTAGATTCTTGTCTGCCGTATTCTCGAATAATTGAAAAGCATGCTCCAATACAGGGGCTGATCTGGAACAGGCTCTACAAAGCTCCAGAACCCCCTCTCTGAGGAGCTAAAACCCCCTCTCGAGGAACTCCGCTGTTCTGCAGTGGACTTGTTTCACAATTCCTTGAACCTGGCTCTCCATACATAGTGATGTACTTCGCCTGCTTGGCTCACTTTAGTCTTAGAAGGCAACCACCTTTTCCCTGGAGTGGTAAGACTGGATTCTGTCAAGCTCTCTGATTTTTATCCCTCGGTGTTGGCAAAGACTTCCCCTTACTCCTCAGGCCTTGCTATTGTGCAACAGATCCGAGGCTGGCCCAGGCCTAACTGCAAGGGATTGGTTGTCGTACAACTCAGGAGCCCTGCCCACAGGAAAGAGGATGGCAGTTCTGTAGATTGCAGAGGTTGCCAGAGAAGTCCCCACCCTCTATCAGGAGGCCGTCTGCTCAGTCATCCAAAGAAGGCAAAGTTCTAAAGTTAAGAAGCAAGCCTGGTTCCCCCTTCAGTAAGGCCCTCAAAATCACCTCCCAGCCTCCGCCCTCTGGAAAAGAGCCCGGCCACGGGACAGACAACCTTTGAGCTCCCCTCCCCAGAGACCAGTTCAACATGCTTCACCTCTACCCCAGTGTTGCTTGTAAACAGTTCCTGGTCGGCCTTTCAAAAGCAATGCCCAGAACCTCCATTATGTACTGCCTGTCCCTACTAGCCCCTTCCCCAGGATCAAGTGATCCCGCTAGACTGGGGTGTCACGCTCGACAAAGTTCCCTGCGATCCGTCTCCGGAGGCGACCACCACCCTAACAGCTGCCAGCGCTCTACTCCTCCCCACCCTCTGCTTGACTACATCTCGAGCACTCTTGGGGCCTCGTCTAGCAAAGTAAACAATGCTGTCAAAGCAGGACAACGCTGGGCAAGGCATTCAGGCCTCTTCCTGGTGTTCTAAAAGCAGCAAAACGTGTCATCACAGGGTCCTAGGGCTCATCTCTCTCCAACTCCCTTTCTAAGAATAAGAAGGCCCGGAGGACGCTCTACAACCAAACACCAAAGCGCACAAACAAACGACTGAAAGACAAGAGAGGGAACGCAGGGTGAAGCGGCCGCACCCAAGGAGGAGGCGGAGGGGGGATCCGAGACGTGGGTGTGACACGGCCGCGAGGCGGACGCCCAGGGCCGCGGGACCGCCACGTTCCCGAGGGGCGTCGCGGGCTGGGGCGGGGCGGGCGCTCACCTCCCGGCGTGGTGGAGAACAGCGTTCCCCCGGGTGTGGTGCAGTAGTCATGAGGTAGCTGCGCGGCGTCGCTGATGGGCACGGTGCGGGTGGGGATGGCGCGGCTCTGACTGGGCTGGTGCCCGCTGCCGGTGGACGAGGACATGGCTCCAGCGCGGGCTCTCGGCTTTGTCCGGCCGGCGGGCGGGCGGGCGGGCGGGCGGCGGCGACTGCAACTGCGGGGCCCAGGCGGCTCCGACACCTCAGGAGGGCGGAAGGGCGCGCTCCGCTCGCTCCTCGCTCGCCTCCTCTCGCTCCTGCGTCCTGCTCCTCCGCTCCCGCCGCTGCCCTCTCGGCCGCCGCCGCCGCCGCCGCCGCCGCCCGATTCTCAGACCTCCGCCACCAGCCCCAGTAGCAGCGGCAGCAGCGGCGACAACGACAACCGGAAGCTGGGGAAGGCGGGAGCCAGAAGGTATAGCGAAAGCAGGTCGAACGGAAGTGACGTTTATGGGCGTGGTCTCGCATGGACGGGACGGAGTTCAACCCTGGCTCTGGAGAGGGGAACCCGAGGACCGTGTCAGTGAGACCGCCGAGGTGGATCAGGAAAACTCTGTGCGTGTTTCAATCAACACTACTTTCCTTGAGCTAACTTAAACTTACTACTCATTTGTATCTATTAAAGGTGTGTATTGAGGCCCGGGGATTTACCTCAGTGGTTTCGCCGCCTGCTGCGCAAGCGCAAGGACCCGAGTTCGATCCCTGGTACCAAAAAAAAAAAAGTGTATATTGATTAAAAGTAATTTAGAGCCGGGCAGGGTGACACATGTCTGTGATCCTACCACGCTGGGAGGCTGAGGCAGGAGGATCACAAGTTTGAACCTGAACTGGCCAATTTAGTGGTTAGCAAAACTCTATCTCAAAATAAAAAGGGCTGGGAATACATAGCTCAGTGCAAAAGCCAGAAAAATTTAGCTAGGTGTGGTGGTGCATGCCTGTAATACCAGCATTCTGTAAAACTGAGGTAGGAAGATTGCAAGTTCAAGCCCAGCCTAGACAATTTAGTAATTTATCGAAACTCTGTCTCAAAATAAATAAATAAATAAACAAGGGCTAAGGATACATCTCAGACCAAAGGTCCTGGGTTCAATCCTCAATAAACGCACCTACAAAGTATACTTTTAATTGTTCATTATTAAATGTAGGCAATGCATGTGTATAAAGTATTTTTTAAAAATCAAGCACAGTAGAAAGGTTTACCATGCCAGTTTCCCAATTTTTTCCGGAGTAATCACTGGTACCAGTTTATTGGGTAGCTTTTGCAGATACAATCCCTATACACACCAAGCTAGGAGTGTGATGTGGTTTTGTGGTGAGCATCCTGGAATTCACTAGGAAAAGGAAAACAACTCACAAGGATTGTATTAGAGAGGAACTGAAGCACAGGGAGATTTAAAACTACAAGTTAACTGAAAAATCTAAATGTGGAATGTTTTTATTTCCTCTAGGGGGCGTCTCACACTTTTTGGCCTCAGTACCTGAAATTCTTGAAAAAAGTATTGAGGATAGGGAGGGGTGGGGGAAAGGAAAGAAGGGAATGGAATTAATATGAGAAAATGAAAAAATGGAAACAAAGTCTTTGTAAATAGAGAGTGATGGAGGGGTTGAAGGGAGGGCAGGGGAAGGGGGAAAAATAAGAACCAAGGGAGTATGTAAAGGTGCAAATTTCCAATGATGAATGTCATTATATTTTATATCTAAAATGTACCAATAAAATTAATTTTTAAAAAAAGATTTTAAAAAAGTATTGAGGATAGGGGCCAGAGATTTAGCTCAGTGGCACCATGTCTGCCTCAAAAGCCCAAGGTCCTGAGTCTGAGCCCCGGTACCAAAAATAAAAAAGGATTGAGGATCCCAAATAACTTTTGTTAATATAGGTCATATCTATTGAAAATTACTGCATTGGAAATTAAAACTGAGAAATTCTTAAAGATATTTGTTATTTTATAAAATAAGTCATTATTGCTGCCTGCCTCGAAAGCGCAAGAACCCGAGTTCGATCCTCAGTACCAAAAATACAAAACAAACAAACAAATAAAATGTCATTACATGTTATGCAATAATATATATTTTTATTAAAACTCAGTACATTTTCCAAAGCAAGAAAAAAATGAGAACAGCAGCACTGTTGTTTTACTTTTTTTTTTTTTTTTTTTGGTACTGAAGATCGAACTTGGGTCCTTGCGCTTGCATCCCAGGCGGTGAAACCACTGAGCTAAATCCCCGGCCCTGTTTTACTTTTTTAAAAAAGTTTTTGTTTTGTTTTGTTTTTTGTTTTTTGAGGCAGGGACTCGCTTTGTAGTTCAGGCTGGCCTCAAACTCACTGCGATTCTCCTGCCTCAGCTTCCCAAGTGCTGGGATTGCAGATGGGTGCCACTACCCCTGGCTGTTGTAGATCTAGGCAAACACTTTAACATTTGGCTGGTAGAAGACAGCTGGATTTTTATGTGTTTCTGCATTCTTCCTGTTGTGATGTATTTTGATTCAGGTATATGAAGAAAAGTCAGCCCCATATAGGTGTGTAGTTGGAAAGGGGGCTCCACCCAAGGGTCACTCCAGACTACTGGGCTAGACAGCTCTGCCTTAGCCCACAACATGCCCAGGATGGGACCAGGAAGAGAATTGTGGGCAGGCAGCAAAGGACCTTCCAGTGAGGAAGTGGAGGTCAAGAAGAACTGAGGGTTAGCCCAAGGAAAATAGCAACTCTGTCACTGCTCAGCAAGCCAAACAGGTGCTGGAGGAGGACATGGACAAAAAAACTCACTCACTGTAGGTTGGGCCAGAGCATGGTGCCATATGATTTTGTGGTGAGAGCCCCAGAATTCAAAAAGAAAAGTCCTCTGCCCACCCTGCAGACTGGAGCCCCCAGAATGAGAGGCAGACACAGAACTTTATCTTGGAAGACCTCTGGGCTCTGGATGTACCGAGAGAAAGAGGCGTTTGTAGCGAAAGGAAAAGGCAAGATGTTAGTTTACATGTGTGGGGAGTTTACCAATCGTGTGCTTTACAAAATGTGCCCCTACTTGATCTGTCTTGAATCAGAGATTTCTAGTGCTCCGGGAATAGCATGGGCAGCTTTCTGGCCAAAGCAAAGAGTGAAAATGGTGGAAAAAGTTAGACGCAGAGGCCAGGGCTTGAGATGGGATGAAATAAAATAAATGAAGCCCAAAGCAGACCAAACCCTCCCAAATCTGGGGGGCTGGGGGATCGTCTCTCATTTATTCATCTTGTCAGTGGCTGTACCATCTTACATTCCCTCCAGCAATGTATGAGGTTTCCAGTTTCTCCACATTCATAACCAGCACTTGATAATAACTTTCTTTGCTTTGTTTTGTTTTGCTTTGCTTTGAGACAGGGTCTCCCTGTGTAGTCCAAGTTTGCCTTGAATTTGCAATCCTCCTGCCTCAGCCTCCCAAGTACTAGGATTATAGATGTCTGCTGCAACCCCTGGTTTAATGCCTTTTTGCTTTTAGCCACCATAGGCAGTGTTAAGTAGTAACTATGGTTTTGATTGCATTTTCCTAATAATTAATAATGTTGAGCATCTTTATGTGTAGTTCAGGCTGACCTTGAACTCACTATGTAGCCCAGGCTGGCCTTGAACTCACAGGCATCTTCCTACCTTCATTCTCTTGTGTGCTGGGATTACAGGGGTGCGCCACCACACCTGGCTTTGAATTTTAAGAGTTCATTATATATTCAGAATACTAGAGTTCCATCCGATAGGTGACTTCCAAATTTTCCTCCTGTTCTGTGGGACCACAAGAGGGTAGGGTGAGAGGGCTCATCTCTATAGATAATCAGATCCAAGCAGGTCAGGGGGACCTTTTCTGGGGGACCCCAAGTGTCAGTGTCTGTCTTATCTTTTGCTGGTCAGTGTTGCTCAGGTTACATATCTGGAGTCTCTGAATCCCGTGTCTTCCCGGAGTCCTGGATATCAAGTGGCCTTTTTTTTTTAGTTGTTCTTTCCTTTTTCCATTCTACTAAGTTACTTAGCATTTGTCTCTGCTTTCTAGTTTCCAAAATTTTGTTTCCATCTTGGTCCACTGCTATACCCTTTCCTGCTACTTAGTCCTTGTGGGTTAATACCTTTAAGAAAATTCCTCTGTTCTCCTTTCAGAGATGTTTAATAGGGGAGCAGACGTAAGCACAAATGCTTACCTTAACGTAATACATGTTTTTAAATAGTATACCAGGCAGGAGTCTGTTTTAATAACAGAAAAAGTTTCTTCAGAAAACTAAATGCTTATGGAGTGGGGATTTAACTCAGTGGTGCCACCACCTGCCTTGCAAATGAAAGGTCCTGAGTTCAAACCCCGGTACAAAAAATAAATCAATAAATGCTGAAAATAACCTGAGTAAACTGAGGAATGAGCTCCAGGCTGGGCCTCCAGGAACGTCCTTCACACTGTTGTGAAACGACCCTCTTGGAAAGTTGCTGCCCGAACCACATGCAATCGGGAAGCTGGGGAACAAGCAGCTACCGTCCCCACTGCCAGCGCTACCCTAGTCACATCTCAAGAGATCGGCATCAATGCCACATAGAGCCTGCTAGGTCCTTCCATCAAGCAGATGCCTGGGGCAGCACTACCCATCTCCCTTTTAACTCAGTTCTGAATTCAACTCTGTGTGAGGGCATCTCATTGGTGTAACCTGGAACACATTGCTACAAGGGATCATGGGAAATTGTTATTTGTTGAGCTTTCCAGCCCTTGCACTATAAGGAAGTCAGAACAGAAGGAGTTAGAAAGGTACTGAATGTACCAATCTATGTCTTTGCCACAAAAAATGGGGAAGTAGCTCAGTGGTAAGAGTTCTTGTGAGTGTGGATCAGGTAATATGTTATTCACAAAAATATGTGGCTGGCCAGACTTGGCCTATGCTGTAGTTTACAGAGCCCTGCCTTTGCTTGTACTGTCCACTAACTCAACAAGTATTTAATGAGCACCTACCATGTGCCAGGCACTGTGCGGGGTTAGGTAGGGAAATATAGCAATAAACAAGATGGTCCCTGGTGACCCCCTACATTTTCCTGCCTCACACGCACTCCTATTCCATATTCAGTTTGGATGGCTCCCTTTGGCTTTCTTTTTCCAGGAGGGTCCCTTGTTTCCCTCACTCTGGGCTTGCAGGCACACCATCACTTGAATGAGGCTTCTGCATCTGAGAGAAGCGTGAAACACAGTCGTGGGCAGAGAAGTCTGGGAGTGGGCAAGAGACCTTTCAGTTTTCCTATTCAGATGAGAATTTTTGTTAATTGACTGGATTATGGTGTAATTCACACACACCAAAGTGTACCCCTTTCAGATGTACTTGTGGGTGCACTTTGATGAATGTTTATATCTCTGGGTGCAGCACCACCACAATCAAGATACAAAACATTTTCATCACACCCCAGTGTTCTTTGTACCCCTTTGCTGTCAGCCACAAACACACGCATCCCTAATCCCTGGCCTCAGATAATCCCTGGTCTGCTTTCCGTCATTATTGATTGGGTTTTTTTGTTTGTTTGGTACCGGGGATCGAACTCGGGTCCTTGCACTCGCGCAGCAGTCAGTGAAACACTGAGCTAAATCCCCGGCCCTTATTGGTTTTAATCTGTCCTAAAACTTCACATCCATGGAA